CCGATGCATGAGTAGGGCATAGAGCATCAACCAGACAAGCACCACATCAATATAGCCATGGCAATGTCCCATACAGTAGCCGAAGCAGAGGAGCGGGAGGAAGATGGACCTCACCAAGGGAGGCTGTAGCCGAGGCAGTACTCAGTGCGCGCCGGGGTTGCGCCTGAACGCCGTCCAACCGGCGAGGAACCGCGTCGGAGTTGTGCCTTGCACCGTCCCGCCGACGAGCACAAACGCATCAAACAACCTGTGTAAGGAAGGCATCGTTGTTTATCAGAAACAATTAGTTAGGAATTACTATTTAACAGAAATGCATTTTTTAGCACAAAGATATGCACAGGAAAAATACAGAGCTCAAGTAGTAAATAAAATGTCATGCAAAAGATATAAAGGTCCAATGTCCAATAACAACTCAACCTTATTTTTTCAGAATCCTTTGATACACACTATAAGTTGCCGACCAAAATCTTTGAGCATGCACATCTGGCATAAAAATTTGATATGAGAACTCATAGCATTTTTTGTCGGTTTAAAACCTTGGATCTACAATCAGAAGTATCATATTACTATTACTCTTACATACATGTTGGCATACACAATATATCTCTACTCTGCCATAGTGTATAGAAAAATAACAGGACTATTAACTCTACATGAGAAGTGAACTCATGGGTACAGGGGATCAATCTTACCTTGAATGTCTTGCACCAAGGCATCCAGCTACCAAGGCAAGATCTCAAACACAGAACATCTATCTTAGAACACCAGTGTTTCCCTTCATAGTCCACCCTTCCTATAATATTCTGGTAACAACAGAAATCTCCCGTTAGTTTATATAGCATGCAATTTGCGCTCAAACTGAAATAAGAACAACATTTTGTCAGTTTTGTCAGTAACATTTGGTTAATTGGGCACCAACAAAATCTCCTATATGATTTGGCGATTAAAGAATAGTAACAAATGATATAAAATAAACAGTGACATCAACTCTAACTACACAATATCTAGGGAAACAACATGAATCTCCAATTGGTTCACAAAGTATGCAACTTTTCTCTCAACTGAAATGAGAACAACATTTTGTCAGTGATATTTAGTTAATGGAGCACCAACAAATCTCCTATTTCATTTAGAATAATAAGAATAAATAAAGGATATAAAATAACCAGTGGCACATTTAACTCTAACTACAACTTGGCAAAGAAATTACATTAGTTGATTAATGATTATCTGTAGCTAAATCCTATATTCAATACACAAGACGAAGGAATTCATATATTAGAAATCATATGCACACCAATCAATCAATTAAACAACAAGAATCACAAATAAAAAGAAATTACATTGGCAGTTCATATCAGTCTCCTACCTTGAAAGTGAAAGGTTTCAGTAAACCCACTTCATTAGTAATGTGATGCATCGATTTTCTCTTAGCAAAATGATGAGTTGCAAGAACTGAAATTACTGAAACAATTATACCTGTCGAAATAGTGCCGTGTAAAGCAAAAGTTGAGAAACGGGTAGCAGTGTAGTGATGCACCCATCAGTCCTTGCTTGCTCCCCCGTCATCTACCAGCGACCTCCTCTTTTGTCCCTCCCAAGCTGTTGCACACAAACTGAACTATAAGTCTTGAGCTTT